TGACGACGCGCGATCATTCTTTATTCAACAAGTACAGTGCTACTACACATTCCTTATTCACGGGATCAAGTTAAAATTCACTAAAATGAAAAATTATAATTAATCAATAATAACTGAAATTAAACCACTAAAAAATATACTAAACTAAGTCATCATCTATGATAGACAGCATCCTTAACAAACAACATTATGCCATCATCAGCATCAGCGAAAAAAAAACCAAAACAACATCAACATTAGAAGACAGAAAAAAAACAACGTGTTAAATTTGTTATCACCACTGACGATGACTAATGAAAGATGGTAACAATGCAATAAAAATTGTTTTCCCTCGAAACCTTCAAAAATAATTCACTAGTCAACAACATTTTTAGATATAATAACTCAAACATGATAACTTATCAAGGGTTTTGTTTGTGCTATACATACATACATACATACATACATACATACATACATACATACATACATACACACACACACACACACACACATATATATATATATATATATATGTGTGTGTGTGTTTGTGCTTAATTTATGGAAGCAAATAAAATTTAATTTTTTTTATTATTCATGCATAGTATGCAAAGATTAGACACACACACACACCAGCCATTTTTATTCATTTCCTAATCAAAAAAACTAATCATTTGTTTTTTTTATGTTAATTTGTGTTAATAACCACATTATCTAATGAATTGAGCTTAATCTTTAGTGGAAGTGAACGAAGTGGACTAATGAATGAGTGAACGAATGATTAAAACTGTTGAAAGAAGGACGATACAGTAAATGAATAAACGAATGAATGAACGAATGATTGAATGAACGAGTGAAAATTTTGATGAGTAATGATATAATGCAGCAAAAGATCGAACGGAACGCAGCAAAAACAAAAAGCTACGAACCTACAACATTCTCTCATTCTTTCTTAAATTATACATCTAATTTGTAATAAACGAGCTCATCTTATCAACAGCACCATCACCACAATCATCATCATTACTACCATCATGACTGATATCATTTGGAAATGCAAACGATAAATCCATTACAGAACCCTTCAAACTGACTGATCTGACCTAGGCGTTTGAATAGAATTAAATAGCTTGACCTGGGATACATTAGAGAAATTGCCTCGTGCAAACGATGGAGCAGAATGAAAAACAAAGAATAACTTTGAGTGGATGAAGATTCAAAATGAAAAGAAAAATGAGTGCATGAATGTATGAATTTTAATATAAATTAACTAATTAAATTGCCTCAGTGGAAGAATGGATATACAAAGCTAATTAAATAAATAAACATAGCTATTAATTTACTTACACACACACGCACACACGTATATATATATATACAGATACACCATATGCATAACCCTAAAACGAAATTATAAAATATAGAAGAAATATGCTGTAGTAAAAACAGGCAATTATATCTCACGTCTTACATTTAATGCAACCCAAACATCACAAAGACAGGATCAAGAGTAAATAGTCTGCACAAGATGTACACCGTACACTGTACACCGTACACTGTACATCGTACACTGTACACGCATCTCCTTACAAAGTACACGAGATTTAGAAGTTTTTTATTTTCTACGTGCGTAAACACTGCTATAATTTTTTTTAAATACGAAAAACACCAGCCAACACAACCAAACCACAACCAGCCATAGGGATGCAAGAACGGTTAATACACATTATGTAGCGTATGCGAGAGTTAGCTCGAGTTAATAAATTTTAACCTAAATAAAAATAGACTTCAAAGAAGTTTTAACTGATAACATTCATTTACTTATTTGTGTTTCAACTTCTAAGTGGAATGACAAAATGAATGATAGATGAGAGTACGATAATAAATAAGATTCTCTTTCACTAAAAATGACGCTTTAATTAAATTTTATTTAAAACATAATAAATATTACATTATAGGTATGGAAAAATAGCGAACATCAAGATGGCGATAATAAAATAATAATACATTGCTGTCAGCTCGCATAATTTTACCGCAAATATATTTAATCCAAGGTTTTGAGACGGCATGTGATGGTGAGAACTGGAGGCGGTTGGGACACATTGGAAAGCTTCCTGGATAGACACGACCCGTGCAGATGCAACTCAAAAGGTGAGTATAATGGGTCGAGTAACGACCAATGGAAATTATTTTCAGCATTGTTTAATTACGACCAAGTCAAACAATTTTTTCTGAAAAAGCCAGTTTAACACTCAAAATTATAGAATATTTTGTTGCAGTTTAACCATTTTGCATCATGATAAACTTCTAAACGGCTAATCTCTTGTATGAATATAACCATGCAATCGTTGTTTTCAAATTTGTTAGATTAAACTATGATTTTGGAATGTAAAGTTATGTAAAGTTAGAATGCAAAAATTGCATTATTAAACACTTTGCAGAACACAGAGGCAGTCTGGCTTTCAGAAACTCCGTTAAAACTGAAGCAACTCCCAAAAAGCCACAACCGCAAGCGGACTCTAATCGCCATTCCAAACTGCTCGCTGGCTCATCGGAGTCCATTTCTTCTAGTGACTCATCAGCCACAGGTACCAGCGGGTCTAGTGTCAGCAGATCTTCCTTCAAGAAGCATAACTTGATCAGTGAGATCGCTAACGGCTCTCGATGTCCAAACTTGATACCAACTGAGAATACGATCTCGTTGCTAGAAGATGTAGCTAGCTTGATTGACAAACAAATCGCAAATAATAATATCGATAAAAATAGTGTTGACAAAGAAAAAAAAAGTCTACTCAACAACAAGCAAAATAAAAAATCTGGAAAAGACGCGGGTAACAGTACAGCCGTCCAAACACCAAAAAAATTACCAGATAAAACTTCTCTGAATACGACGCCTAGTTCAGCGAAGAACAGAACAAAATCAAACTCAAAATCTTTAAACTCAAGTTGCGAGAATCTACTAACAAAAAATACAAACGCCACAGTGTTTAAAACACCGACTAGTACTCTTAGAAGAAAAAGCGAAATTATCATGAAACAAACTTTGTCGCCGAGTAAGAGCTTCAATGATGGAGGAGCTATAAACATTAGAACATCTAACACCGAAACGCCTAAATACTTAAACCGCAATAAACCGACAACGGCAATCACACCGAGATCCTCTTCTGCTGCAACTACCCAAAGACCTTTCTCCGCCAAAGTGAACAGAACCACCGCCAGAGAAAAACATGAAAATAAAATCTCAAATACGAACAACGATATATCTCATAGTTTGAGCAACATCGTAGAAGGAATAAATACTATACAAAAATCTAGATCTCAAAATTTTGTGTCGAGAGATAAAAATCTAGAAGACAAAATGCTTATAAAACAACCCATCATCGCGTCTAAACCGAGAAGGGACATCAACATCGGTTTCAAAACGAAAATCCCACAACCAATTTTCCATCTTAATTATTCTGACACAAACTTAAAGCGAACAGACTCTGGAGTTGACATAACGGGTGCTTCCGACACAAGCCTACAGAAGAACACGTTTTTTGATGATGGAGATTATTACTGAAAACTCCATTGATAGATTTACATATCAGGATAGTTAATAAAAATTCAGACTTTCGCATATATGAATTACCTGCCCTACTCAGCGAAGTAACGTTATTTTGTCAGTATTCGAGTCGAAAACTTTTTACCATTTCATTCGTTTTGTCATAAATTTACTACAAATCCTCGAACGAATACTAACTAGATTCTCATAACTTTATAACCGATAAACGTCAACATTTATTAGATTTCAATGTTATATTTTTATTTAAACCCATACTCACATCATATTCACAAATTCATTTACAATCATTCTAAATATGACATTCCTAGTGATTCACGCAAATGTCGGTAAATTATCGGTGCTGTGCGTTAACTTAACACGTCTGTCAGCTGGCCATTATTTGTTTTGCATAATTTGCTTGAATAATAATCCTTTATTTATTTATTTGTTTGTTTGTTAACAAAAATTTATGATGCAAAATTTTGATTTTGAAAAACCTTGCAAACATTGTTTTTGATTTAAGCTTGCTTCTCATTTTTGTTAATTTTACTATTGCTTCCGAAAGCGTTATGAATTTTTCAATGATCCAGTGCGGCTTCACTAATCTGTATATTTTAAAAGTTGTTTAACGTGATTGAACCGTTTTGAAATTTTACCGTTGAACGTCCGAACGGGACCTACCAAAGAGGAATGGGAAAAACGACCTAGTGTTATCTACATTTTATTTTATATCTTCATCAGGCTCCAAAATTTGACCATTAAAATGAACAGCTGAGCCAGAAAGATACAAAATAAGATTAGAAAATATTAGCCGCCACGCTCTGGAAGCTACTAGCCTGCCATTTTTTGACAACAGCTGCACTCACTGTGCGGCTGGTCTCAGCTTATTTATATTGCCATTTCATTGCCACTCTTATCGTCATCTCCATCAGTGCTAATTTCATGTTAAATTAGATTTTTTCACTGCCCAAATAAATGTTTTCAACGATGTCATGTACAAAATCTTAATATCTATCGCCATATTAGAGCAGAGCAGTATTTAGTTATTTAAGCGTTGAATTAAACCTAGTTGATTTATTTATAGCATTTAATGTAAAGCCAAAAACGGTGATATACTTTTCATTTGCACAAAATATACTAATGTATATTTGAATTTACAGATTTTCGCAAGCATAATACAAAACTCGGCCTCAGCCACTACACCTAATCGTCATATCTACCCTTTGATAACTTATGTAGAACGCTTTATAGCATTTGAACACAAACATCGCTATTAATAATATGTCGAAAATCGAAAAATTTCGCGATTTAAATCATACAATTTTATTTTGCGCAGTAGAATTTTTACGATTTCATCAATTTTCGTTTAACTTATTACACAGAATTAAAGGTATTAAACGCAATGATCTTTGACATTTTAGTTCGAAATTTTTTTTACAACTTTTCATTTGAACTGACTATTTTAGAATTGAATAAAATTGTGCAAATCATAAACTGTAATGTTTCTCAATAACCGTAGCTCAGAAAATAGACGAAAATTCAATTGAAGCAGCACACACATAGCAAAACAGAAAACATGCAGACACGTAGTTAGAAGCACTAGAAGAAACAGCTGACGAAAAGTTCTTATGAGACTCGACAGATTGGCACAAGGCAGAGAAATTTGTGGAGGGTTGAAAAGTGTTAAGTCAGTGAAAGTAAATTTTTATACAGGGATCATTAATTATCATTTTTAGTTTTTAGACACGAATAATTATTATTATACACTACGCGCTATATTTCGAATATTTTTAGGAATGTGGCACTGATGTAGTGAAATCAGCTGCTAGTAAGTTACAAGATTCATGTAATACTCAATCTCTTGAGCTTGAAAATGTCTAATCTGACAATGGAAATTCTTACGTGTGGTATCTTGAGTCGACCGAACAGTTATGTGTTAATGAATGCGCACTATAGTTCGATTTTTTAAAATGTGGTGCTAATATAGTGAATGAGGCAGGTAGTTTTTTCTAGAATCATGTAGCATGGAAATGTATAATTTGGTAATAGAAATTCCGACGTTTTTGATATATAGGTAGTATGCGAATTGACCGAACAGCTATCATTGTGTACATATTACCAAACTTGTACTATAGCTCGATTTTTCATAATGTGGCGCCAATTTAGTAAATTGAGATGGTAGTTTTTTAATAGGATCTAAGGGTTATGAGCAACATTTTTTCAAGTCAGTAAAACTTAGTTTTTGGCCATTTACTTTTAATAATTTATCGTAACGTTACTTTTAATAATTTATCGTAACGAGCCATATTAGGTACTATAAAACCATATACAATACAAAAAAAATGATATATATATCTAGATAACTTCCGAGTGAGAAGTCGAACAAGACAATCATTTTAAACACCAATTTATTACAATCAATTATATAACGAATATATTTTCATTCTGTTCCGAAAACTTTAAAAACATGGATGGTAACAAAAATAATTATCAGGCGCAAGTAAGCAAAAACGTAATTCATACCTTAAAATTACTGATTGGTTATAATAATATTAATAATAATAATATAATACTAATAATAATATAATAACAACAAAGTTTAAAGTGGTTCAGTAGACTAGCAACTGTGTAAGAACCATTAAAAATGAATGTTCTTTTAAGCGAAACTTACAAAAAATACTCTAAAAATTGTAAGAAAAAAATAAATCTGACCGAAATTATTCAACATCAAACTGAAGAAAAATTGAAAACCAAAAAAGAATGAAAAATAAGAAACACAAAATGGGGGAAAAAATAAAATCAACGGTTGGGATAATAAATTATCTTCTCGTGTAAAATTTGCGTCGGCATCATTAGACTCATTCATCAAGATCATTTCATTTTGTTTTATTTTGCTACGAAAAAAAAAATTTCAATTAATTTTTTTACATTATTCTAGAACAGCATACGTAAAATATTTTAATCTTTCATTAAGTCTTCATTTCAATTTACACAGCATGTGAGTAATTGAGTAAAATCCTAAAAAATACAAACAATACAAACACAAAAAATATACCTTCATCACATTTACCAAAAATACACACATACAAAATTGATTCACATACAAAAACATACAGGTAGCATAAGCATACACAGACGCTCAAACACATACACAGACACATAAAATAAATACACATATAAAAAACATCTGGTCATAAGAACACACAAACAAACAAACAAATACACACACACACCACACACACATCCACACACACATCCACACACACATTTACACATCTCCTTTGTCATATTCAGACAATATGGCGTCACAGTCACTGGTTGCCAGTGTTATAAGAGGACATACCTATAGTTTTCCGTCTCGATGTTTTTGCTGCTGCTGTTGTAGCTGGAATCATTGCTGTTAAATGATGGCTGTGGCGATGATAACAACAAAACAAAACAAACAAACAGAAAACACAACAACAATTGCAACAACATACAACTTAAATGCATGTTTATTTCACAGTTATTTTATCCCAAACAAGTGCATAGCTTGGCAGTTAAAATAACATTTTTACATTATTCTCATCCTTTATTCTCATCAATGTCCATCCGTGTTTCTGC